TGATATGTTGTATAAATAATTTCACAAAATTATACTTACCACCCTTGATTGTATTTAGAGGATGTTGTTAGGAAATAAACAGGGAGGGAAGTATGTGCAATTGAAACAAGTGACTTTGTATGCTATTAGTCTTTTTTTGAAAGATAATAAATCTTCATAAAAGAATATGTTCACTTTCTTTTGGTAGAAATGTTCTTAATATGTGTCATCAAAATAGATAAGATGTACCTAATAAGCAAATTTAACGTGCTTCTATTTAGAATTTAATTCTCCTAGTCTTTCCCTTTTCTCCCTTATGTACCCATCTCCACTTCCTAACACCTGCACACACACATACCTCTGTCTCTTGCCATGTTATCATAGTATCCATGTCATTGGAATGTTAATTTTGGAAACAAATAGTTAAATTTATGGTATATTACACATTATGCAAGTTTTCCAGATTCTTTAAGTAATTAGGATTTTTGGTACATTAAATGTCCTATCAGGTAAAATAGCTGAGTCATTGGATATTCTAACATTCCTAATTTGAAGAGGAGCTTAACCGTTTTCTAGGGATTTAGGGACTGCATAGAAAGACAAATGTGGCTGGTGTTGGCTCTGTATCTTAGATATTATCTAGCTGTCTCTATATCCCCCAAACTACAGCATCACATTTTAACTTTCTAAACTCAAAATATTTTTCTTTTTGTGTAAGTGCTTTTTTTTCCCTTAACACTGCTTTTCATTCTCTAGTCTAATATTAACTATTTCTTCCTCTTTAATTCTTTTTTAAATATTATTTTATCCTGACAAACTAATTTGTACTCTGTGTCTTGGGATGAGGAGAAGTAGTTCATTGACAGATGTACTTTAGGGAGTCTATATAGTATTCTGAGCAAGAACCAGGTCTTTGGAATCCTCCAGCTCTGGTTTACAGTCCTAGCCTGGCCAATTGCTAGCTGTTAAACCTTGGAAGTTTCTTTCACCTCTTCAGGTCTATGCATATTCATTTGCAAAACATGATGGGAAAAGGTCTTATATATTAACTAAAATAACTCTTGAAAAAATTATTTGCATTGTGTTGACATAGTAAAGACTGTAGTTATTATATCTTTTAACCCCCTAAATGAAAAGGTATTTTAAAATAAATAGGAAGCTTCTTTTGCACTTAAATAAAATTAATTTCTCAGATAATTACAATGTCCTGTTTAGTCCTGTTTGGCCCCTTTTTGGAACCAGTACTTAACTAGAAACTGCAGTGAAATCATACAGGAATGTAGGACCAGAAGAGAAAGCAGTGATCCCATGATAATTTGAATGCAAATGACCAAATGAATAACATATGAGGGGGAGAAAGAAAAAGAATTAGGCCATGGGTCAACTGAATTTTGGAAACATTTTAGCCTCAGGAACACCTTTTCTCCCCCTATAAGTCTAATACTTAATGCCCTAGAATTTTAAAATTTTATCCTGGATAAGAACTGTTACATGGTTACCATTTATGAAAACTCATTTATTCATAAACTTTATTTTACCTTTGAGCAAACTTCTGAAAAGAATGACTACCAGGATATATCATAACCTGTGTTCTCAAATGCTTTTCTCGTTATCTTCTTTATTGTTTCTGTCTGAAAAATCTCTTAATGATGACTGTGATTAAGTTAATTGTGTCCACCCATACATATGTACAGTTTATGGCAATACAAAGAGCAGTCATAGCAAGAACATAGTGCAGTATGTTTCAACATGGAGCAGCCACAGTCCTCTCAAGGCTGGCCATGTCTGCAATCTTGGGCTAACATCTCTGGTGAACAGAATATCTTGTATTTCCTTCAGCATGGAAATGAATTGACAGTTACTTATAGAGAGAAACTAATGTGAGTTTTTGTGAAAGTAAACACAGATTCAACCCATGGCAAACTGTTAAAAAAAGACAAGCCATGAGAGAAACAAACTGAGGGTTTTGGAGGGAAGGGGGGTGGGAGGTTGGGTGAGCCTGGTGATGGGTATTATGGAAGGCACTTATTGGATGGAGCACTGGATGTGGTGCATAAACAATGAATCTTGGAACACTGAAAAAAAATTTAATTTAATTTTTTAAAAAAGAGAGAAAGGATGGAAGATGGATACTTTTTATTGACTGAAATGGCTTGAAGATAAAAAGGTAATATCTGTGGTGTGTAAGACATTGTCTTCAGACTACATAAACATATCATCAATTCTGAAAATGATAGAGTTCAAAGTCTCAAGAGGAAACCAACCCATCCTTAGAGTAGTTGTAAAAGTGGAACATCCATGCAAAGATGAAATTATATAGTTTGGTTAATAAATGAAAAATTGTGATGATCGCATTTAGTTTTGTTTTCCAGTTCTTTAAGAGTGGAAGGAGGTAGAGAGATCATAAGGAAGGAAGGAAATGTGTACATATTTATATTTATCCCCAGTAAAGATGATGTTAGTTTTTTCTGCTGTATCAACAAACTCACTCACTTATAATTGATCTCACCTGATCAAATGGCTGGTTAGAAATAGTGGAGGTTGTTTTGGAATTGTGTGATGCAAAAGTAGTGAACTTGGGCCAAACAGTTTATCCTTAAGTAATTATTATGTGTTTGCTGGCTAAATACTTTTGTGAAACTAGTCTTCACCAAAACCAATATACGTTGATCATTAGGCTTGCATCCGAGCAACTCTTAACTTTTAAAAAAAAATAATGTACTTCTAAATGATGATGTACAATTATTAATAAGAAAGTGATAATCATACTAAGAAGATTTTATTCCAAATAGAACCAGCAAGTAATATTTCTCCAGTTGTACCTGAAATTTCCACTTCTGTTTAGCTCTACAACCCTTTGATCTGAAAACCTGAGATCCCCATCTCCACTTCAAGTTTTTATTTTGAGACAGTGGAAGAAAGAAAGAATCATTTCCTCCTGCTCACATTGTGATTTTACATCTCATTTTAACTTCGATAGGATGGAAATCATCTTTCTTTCATCGAATAACTGTCTGACTTAAGTAGACATACCATTCGTTGGGCTTGTTTAAACACAGGTTGTGTTACAGCTGCTCAGTGAGATAGGTATCTGTGAGACTATGTCATTCAAGAAAGCCACTGAATTACCTGTTATCACCTGACTTTCCTTACTGTGCTGAATGATTATGAACAGAACGCATCACTGAGATAACTTTCGGTTTTCTTTGGCAGTGTAAGTTTAAACAAAGGTAGTGGGCATCTTTGATATTGGTAAACTGAAGAATACCCTTCACACAATTAAAGTTATGGAAGAATTGTTTGATATTAATAGTTTTATTTTAGGTGTATATAGATATATTGAGCTTTGGTGGCGGTGGTGGGGGGACTTGGAAGAATGCCTAGCACATAGTATAGTAAGTGCTCAAAGCAATTATATGAAAGACCATCTACCATTTGTCAGGTCTCTGGGAGGGATTAAAAAACCTGTGAAATACAATAACTGAATGGTAGTAATGATGAGAAAGAAATTCTATATAATGGAACAAAAAGTCTTTCGTTCTTTACCTTAGAAAGTTTTCAGAGAGTTTCAAAAAAAATTTTAATAGCAGCCCAAGGATGGTGTCTGAAGGGGATGGAACTAGATTGTAAAGAATGGACATTATATTAAGTCTGTGACCTTGAGAATTTCATGGGTACTGCAGACTCCCTCTGTAGATCATTAGAGTTTGTGTGACAATCTAAATGTTCTTCGGAATCCACATTTTCTATGTGGTGGTCATCATTGCATGGGGAACATGCTAAGGACCAGTAGTAGTAGAAATCATTATCCTTTTGTGGTGACTTTTCAAAAGCAGTTGTGTCCTGCAGGTTTGTTGCTTTTTCTGCCCTCTGTTGCTCCCAGTGAAGGCCAAGCCACTTAAGGTGATTTAGATAAATAGGAAGCATTAACCATCTATGGGGATGCATTGGGGGAGACAGGGGACTTGTGCAAAAATAAATAGCAGGAAAAGCAGTATGTAAGTTATATATGTGTAGTTTACTTTAGAATTACAGGAGATAATGAGTGTTTTCCATTCAGAAGAGCAAAATATTTGTTTTGGATAGCTATCAGTGAAAGTCTAGCTCATTGGAAAAATTGAAGTGGTATTAATTTGAGGAACTAGTAGATTTTTTTATTAGAAGTTCTGCTTATGTATTTTTGGCTGACTTGGTAAATGGATTTTGGTGACTTGAGTTTAGAAGTAGCATAATAAAAACTCTGTTGACAGGGTGGCCAGGGAATGCTATGTAGAAACTCTCTCCACCCCCACCCCCACCAAAAAAAGGTGGGGGGCAGGGAGAGCAGAAGTCCTAGAACTTGGTAACTTCGAATAGATATATTTAGTATTATAACAGTCATTAATATGTATTTATACCAGCAACATGTGGATTATTTTACTTTTGTTGTCTCATTTAACCTTCTCAACCATTTTGTAAAGTATAGGTACTGTTGTCATTATAAGTTGATTAATTTGATTAAGCTCACACAAGGGCACCTGGGTGGCTCAGTCAGTTGGGCATCTGGCTCTTGATTTCACCTCAGGTCATGATCTCAGGGTTATGGGATGAAACCCCACATTGGGCTCTGCACTGAGTGTGGAGTCTGTTTAATTAAGATTCTTTCTCTCTCCTCCTCCTTCTGACTCTGCACTGAGTGTGGAGTCTGCTTAATTAAGATTCTTTCTCTCTCCCTCTCCTTCTGACTCTCCCTCTCCTGCTTGCCCTCTCTCCTCTCTCTCTCTCCTAACCAAAAAAAAAAAAAGAAAGAAAGAAAGAAAAAGATTAACTCTACACAGTAATAATAATCAGAACCAGAATCTAAACCTTGGGTTTGTCTGAACCCAAGCCTTGTTATAAAGGATACTAGTTATCAGAGCATAGAAAAAAGATGTTGCTAGCACTTTTAGTTAGGAGACAGAAGCCCAGTAGAAGTCTGGTTTAATGTTCACCATTGGCATATGTATAACATAAACTTTTTTCTCCCCCCGCCTTTTTTTTAGTGCGACTTCATGACAGCATATCAGAAGAGGGCTTCCATTATTTGGTGTTTGATTTGTAAGTACAACATACTTTGTGTTCACTTATTTTTGCTATTTGAAGACCATTTTGAATTAAATGATTTTTTTTTCTAATTTGCAGTCTAAATTAATGACCCTAGATTTTTTTTAGATGTTCTTCAAATAGCATTAACTCTAATTCTTTTTGAAAAAATGTGACTGTTCAGGAGTGTTTATTTAAAACTTACATTAATCTTCATAACTGAAACAGGAGTCTGTTTGAATTGTTCACTGTGATACCATAAGCAGTTCTCAGTTTTATCTCTGGGCATGCAAATGGCTGATATGAGCTAATTTTCCATTGAATTTTTTGGGCTTTTTATGATTTATTATCTTATATAAAAAGAACCATAGCTAACATCATACTAAATAGTGAAAAACGAGGGAATTTTTCTCTTAAGATCAGAAACAAGGATGTTCGCTTCACCAGTTTTATTCAACATAGTCTGAAAGTCCTCACCACAGTAATCAGATAAGAAAAAGAAATAAAAGGCATCCATATTGGTAAGGAAGAAGTAAAACTTTCACTCTTTGTAGATGACATGATACCATACATAGAAAACCCTAAAGACTCTACCAAAAAACTATTAGAAGTAATAGTCAAGTTGCAGAATAAAAAAATAATATGCAAAAATTGGTAGCATTTCTATACACTAATAACAAAGTAGCAGAAAAGGGAAATTAAGAAAACAGTTCCATTTACAAATGCACCAAAAAGAATAAAATGCCTAGGAATAAACTTAATCAGGATGGTGACCTGTACTCTGAAAACTATAAAATACTGATGAAAGAAATTGAAAACAACACAAACAAATAGGAAGATATTCCATGCTCTTGAACTGGAAGAATTAGTATTGTTTAAATGTCACCACTACCCAAAGCTATCCATACTTTCAGTGCAATCCCTATCAAAATACCAGCAGCATTTTTCACAGAACTAGAACAAATAATACTAAAATTTGTATGGAACCACACATACAAAAATAACAAAACAAAACAAAAAACCGAACAGCCAAAAGAGTCTTGAGAAAGAAGAACAAAGGTGGAGGTATCACAGTCCCAAATTCCAAGACATACTACAAAACTGTAGTAATCAAAACAGTATGGTACTGGCATAAAAAGACACATACATCAGTGAAACAGAGAGCCCAGAAATAAACCCATATTTATGTAGTCAATTAATCTGTGGCAAAAGAGGCAAGAATATACAATGGGAAAAAAGCCAGTCTCTTCAATAAGTGGTGCTGAGAAAATTGGACAGCTACATGCAAAAGAATGAAACTGGACCACTTCCTAACACATACATAAAAATAAACTCAACATGGATTAAAGCCCAGTAACTTCGATATCAGTCATAGCAACATTTTTCTAGATATGTCTCCTAAGGCAAGGGAAGCAAAGGCAAAAATAAACTATTAGGCTACATCAAAATAAAAAGCTTTTGCACAGCAAAGGAAACCATTAGCAAAAGTAAAAAATGATGCTTACTGAATGGGAAAAGTTATTTTCAAATGGCATATCCAATAATGGATTAATATCCAAAATATATAAAGAGCTTTTACGACTCAACCCCAGAAAACCCAATCCAATTAAAAAATGGATAGAGGATCTGAATAGACATTTTTCCAAAGAAGACATCCAGATAGTCAAGGGTCACATGTAAAGATGCTCAGCAGCACTCATCATCAGGGAAACACAAATTAAAACTGCAGTGACATACCACCTTTCAGAATGTCTAAAACCAAATACACAAGAAATATTAAACATTGATGAGAATGTAGAGAAAAAAGAACCCATGTGTACTCTTGGTGGGAATATAAAAATTGGTGCAGCCATTCTGGAAAACAGTATGGAGGTTCCTCCAAAAATTAAAAATAAAAATAACATAAGATCTAATAATTCCACTCTTGGGTATTTATGCAAAGAATGTGACAACCCTAATTTGAAAAAAAATAAGCTCACCTATGTTTATTGCAGCATTATTTACAGTAGCCAAGATATGGAAGAAACGTAAGTGTCCATCAGTAGATAAATAGATAAACAAGATGTGGTGTGTATATATGTACACACACACACACACACACACACACAAAATAGAACATTACACTGCAACAAAGAAAAGATGAGGTCTTGAGAAAGACAAATACCATGTGATTTTATTTGCATGTGTAATGTAAAAAACAAAAGTGAATAAACAAACAAAAAGCAGATTCAGAGAACAAATTGATGGTTGCCATAGGGTGGGGGGGTGTGTGGAAAGGAAGGGTAAAATATATGAAGGAGAGTGGAAGATACAGGATTCCAGTTATAGAATGAATAAATCACAGAAATAAAAGACATAGGGGAATATTTTCAGTGATATTGAAATAGCGTTGTATGGTGACAGACCGTAGGTAAACTTATGAGCATAGCATAATGTTTGGAGATGTTGAATCACTATATTGTATACTTGATACTAATGCAACATTGTGTGTCAAATAAAAAAAATTGAAAGTGAACTATAATTTAAATAATGGAAAAAGACTAAAAGTAGGGTCCTTGAAGTTGGTTAATTCAGGGGTTCAACAACAGTATCAGATGTCCATTTTTTAATTACTTTGCTTTGTTCTCAAATTGGTATGGTTCAAGGTATTATATATGACATGCTAATGTCCAGTGAAAGACATTGTTTCTTGTTCTTTATAAGAGTGAAAAATTTACCCAGTAAATGTTTCATTTCCTCTCACTGGCTAGGATTAGGTCATATATCATTTGACATAGTAATTTCACTTCTAGAAATGTAATCCATGGAAATCATATCCTAAATTTAGATAAAACTTTATACCAAAAGATGTTCATTGCATCAGCTTTTATAATGGGAAAAAAAGAAAAGAAAAAAAGGCAACTTAAGGATCCAATAATAGAGAAATAGTTGCATAATTATGGTAAATTCATATGCTGGACTACTGTCCAGCATTACATGAAAATGGGAAATAGATAAGAAAAATATATTTTTTGTAATATGACTCTAAAGGAAGGTTAGTGTTAGATCTGGTTGATTGAGCCCTTCAATGATGTAGTTAAGAAATCAAGTTTTTTCTGTCTTTTTGTTTGTGCTCTGTAGTATGTGAGTTTATTCTCAGGTTGGCTGCCACATTTTCAGATATTAGTGACTTTCACAGTGAGAAAAATGGATAGTATTAATGCCATTGCATATGTTTTTATCCTTTCTCAGCAGTCCCGCAGGAGATAAGCTGTTAGTGAATCCCTGCTATTTATTTATTTATTTATTTATTCACTTATTTATTTATTTTAATGAATCCCTGTTTAGAGTTTCTTCTTATGCCCCTGCCTGAATCAGGTATTGATGAGGGAATGGAACTACAACAATTGGCTTTGACCAACTATAAATTTAATATGTAGGTCTTGGGAGGGAACTGGCTTCTCTTGATTCACTATGTGCATGGTCAGGTAAGATCTAAATCATGGCTTCGTTAACAAGAAAATAGAGTTTTGCATATTAGGTAAGCAGCCACGTGTGTCTACCATGTTCATGATGAGTGTGTGCTGGAGAATAGAGACTGAAGCTCTGATTATGCACAGCCCCACTGTAGTGCTCCTCTCCATAGTCATAGTCCACCCATGGCTTGTTCACATGCCTGTAGTTTTGCACCACTCCATATTGCACTAGTCCTTCCTCTTCAGTCCTTTCTCAGAACTCGTATTTTTACTTTCTCCATTGTCCTTTCTTCCATTCTCATGTTGTAAGATCCTTTTATTTTTTAATGATTTCCTTTCTTCCTTACTGACTTCCTTAGCCATTTTTTCAGAGTAGATATGCTAGCAACAAATTCTTACTTTCCTTTTTCTAAGAATGTCTTGATTTCCCCCTTAACTCCTTTTTTCTAGATAAAGAATTCTAGGTAAACAGTTATATTCTTTTACTGTTACATCAGTTCCTTCTGGATTCTCTGATTTCTGATGAAAAATCTTTTGTCATTTTGTTTTGCCCCTAAAAGTAAGGTGTTCTTTCTCTCCAGCTGCTTTAAAGATTTTTTTTCATTGCCTGTAGTTTTTAGAAGTTTGACCATGATGTGTCTTGGCTTAGATTTCTTAAGAGTTTATCTTATTTTGTGTTCACTTAACCTCTTGAATATACAGGTTTATGTCTTCTGCCAAACTTGGGAAATGTTTAGACATTGGTTTTTTTAATACATTTTTTTTACCCTTGCCTTCTTTCTCTTCTCCTTCCGGAACTTGATAACATGAATGCTAGATCCTTTGTTATAGCCATATAAATTCCTGGGGCTTTGTTCATTTTTATCTTCTTTTTTTCTCTTGTTCACATTAGAAAATTTATACTGTTTTCTTCAAGTTGACTGATCCATTTTTTCCTCACTCTGCTATTGAATGCATCCATTTCAGTTATTGTATTTTTTTCAGTTCTACTACAGACTGTTGGTTTTTCTATAAATTCTCTGTCTTTGCTGAGACTTCCTATTTTTTCTGGTCAACTGTGTTTTTAATTGGTCATGGAAACATTTTATTAGGCTGATCAAAAATCCTTGTCAGATAATTCCAACTAGATTGACATCTTGGTGGTGTTGGTGTTGGCATCTGTTCATTGTTTTTTTTCTCATTCATATAGAAATTTTCTTGGTTCTTGATATAAGCAGTGATTTTGTATTATTTCTTAGACATTTTGGGTATTATTTTATGAGACTGAGGATCTAATTTTAATCTTGTTAACAGGCCTCCTCTGATAACACATTGGCAGGAGTTATTGGGTACCATCTTACTACTTTCAGGTGGAAGTAGAAGTCCAGGTTTCCTATTTAGCCTCCCATGGCACCCCAGGGGTATTCCTCCTCACTGCTGGGCAGGGCTTGGGAGAACAGGGAATTTTTTTTTTTTTTTAATGCATTTAGTTAGACAAATGTGTCTACCCTATTTTTTTTTCAGACCTGTTGTTATTTCTTAATAGATTTAATTTGTTAGCTATCCTTTGCTATATAAATC